AGGAAGAATGGTTGGTAGGTTCTTTTTTGCAGTTTTTGTGAGTCTTATGACATAGTTATGAAAAACTTTCAGTAACCACCCACATTTTGCAGAGAGAAGTTAAATATCTGGAGTATTTTCGTCATCCGAACCTGATTAAACTTATAGCTTACTGCGCCGAGGGTGACAAACTTCTTTTGGTATATGAGTTCATGCCAAAAGGAAGCCTGGACAATCACTTGTTCGGAAGTAGGTTTCACTTAATATTTTTTCTATTTATGAACAACTCTTAAATATATTATTCCCTTGTCATATTTGTTATTTAATAATTCGCGAAGCATTACCTTTGTGTACCAGCTGTATGCCATTTCTTGTACTTGTTTCATATGTATAGGATATCCATGACTAACTATTGGATATAATTTAAAATATTATATGTTTCATTACTTGATATAGTTTTGGAATGCTTAGCTTATGAATTTCTGGTCATGGCTTCTAAAAAACACTTTGTGCATCACAACTTTTAATGTATGGGGATTATAGATCTGTCTTTCCTAGTTTTCTAAAAAGTGCATGTAGGTGCCTCCTAGACACAAGGCGCCAGCGAAACGTTACGCCTTGGCAATAAGAGTGAAATTAAGCTATCAACTACCAAGTTAACCACTTAATGTACTACTAGGGGTGCCTAAGTGCTCTTTATTAATTTTTTTTATTATTTTTTCCTTTTTTCGGAAAGCCTTTTATTTGACTTTAGTTTATTTTTTCCCCCTTTTAAAAAGCCTTTCATTTAACATAGTTTTTAGTTTTTAAATGACTTTATCTATACAAAAGTAAAAAATGACTTCATCCGATAATGTGTTAGATAAAATTTAAGTAACCGTGCTATCTACATTACGTAATTATGATTTTGAGACTTATCATTTAGTTGAAAATTTCGAAAGTATTTATGAAATTCCTATAAATCTATTAAGTAGGACTTGTCTAGTTGAAACTATGAAAATAGTTTCTCTTTTGCATTTCGAAAATTTGAAAATTTTATAATTAACTAATTGTAAGA